TAATGATGAGCCAACAGTCCTTGTGATTGTTGTGCTCAGCGACTTCCTTCAAGGTGAAGACCTTTTCTCCGCTACCCATATGCTCGAATCGGGTTCGTCGATCGAATTAGAGCTAATTGAGGGGCAGATAGAAGGAAATTTTGGGCTACAAAACAAGGATGGAAACCGAACGTAAAACGATCATACACTATATATATATATATATATATATAACTGAAAGGAGAAATTAAGCTCACGGAAAGATTTGGATGTCAACTACAAAAAAAAAAAAAAAAAAAATTGGGATTCGGTAGTAGGTGAGATGGAATGACGATAGTGTTTGTTTGAAAGGCAAAAAAATAATGGAAACCCAATCAAAAGTGGTCACAATTGGTTGGCAACAACGTGCAACAACACGGACACCATCTCTAAGATCCATTATAAGCCGATTTTTGGGACCAAATATTATACATATATGTGTGTGTATGTGTGTGTATATATATGTATATATGTCTAAACTTTTATAATTTCATTAAATTTTAAATTAGTTTCGTTGAAACTAAATTAATAAAAATACTCTTCAACCTTGTATTTGTCTCGTGATAAGAAATTCAATTTCCGCTCAAATAGTCTCGTGAAAGAGGGCCTTTTTAGGGTTTTGGGGATAGAGGGACTTGAACCCTCACGATTTTTAAAGTCGACGGATTTTTTTCTTACTATAAATTTCTTTTTTGTCGGTATTGACACGTAGAATGAGATTCTATCTTTATTCTATTCGCATCTGATTAATCAGTTCTTCAAAAGATCTGTCAGACTCTGAATGGAGTAAATGATTTGATCATCGATTTATAACAATTTGTTCATTTTTATATATAAATATAAAAAATAGAGATTCGAGTTGTCATTAATGTATTAAATCTTTCATCTTTTCTGGAGTTTGGAAGGATTCATTCCATTTTATATGGAATTAGTTAATATTTTATTTCAAAATAATACTCTTAAGCTTTCGCAATATTTTAAAAAATACCTCTGTTCCAAAGTTTTATTAATAATATTCTTAAATTAAAAAAAAAAAACACCTTTAAACATTTTTTATAAATTTAAAAATGTGTTGATACTATTTTAAAAATTAATGGATATTTTTTTAAAATAGTTTCAGAAGAAAAATGGTATTTTTTAACTTTAATAAAAATTGAAATATATTAATGAAAATTTTAAAGGTATTTTAATTTTTTTTTTAATTTTAATAATATTAAAATTAAAAAAATTAAATGTATTTTTTAAAATAAAAGGTTGGTGAGCATTTTTATTAATTTATAATATTTTTTTATTAAAAAAAGAGAATTTAAAATTGGAATTAAAAGTCTTTACAATTGACCTAGATAGCCACCATATCCACCTACCAAACGATGTACAAATTTTATTAAAATCAAATTAATTGTTTTTTTTAATTTTTTTTTATTTCAAATTTTAAAATCCAAAACCAACCTTGGAATACAATGGGTATGCTTTGATTAATAGTCATATTAATTTTAGTTTTTATTAACCATAATTTTAAATTAATATTTTACATTTACTATAAACTTTTAATATAATTTTGATATATTTAACATTTTTTTAAAATTAATAAATATATTAACTGTGTCTTGTATGACATTTAATTTTTAATTACATATATAATATACTTTTTTTTTTCTCGAGAACATATTATACACAAAAATTGGAAGCTCAGAACCTATAACATGTTAAAAGACCTATTGAACGTATACCTAAAATTTAAAATAATAAACGATTAATTTCTTCGATATACAATTTGAGATAAATTTATTAATAAAATTATAGTAACCAGTTCTAATATTTTAAACCATATTTAACTCATATTATATATATAATTATAGAGACAAAATTTATAGTTTGATCGTAATTAAGTGTTGAGAATAGGAGATGTTGTTAAAGATGTTTGCCGAGCCCATCGTTCAGTTTTTTATCCCTAAATCATACTGAATGACTTAGTTTTTACTGCCAAATTTCACAAATATTTCAAATCGATTATTTTTTTTAATGTATTAATACGTTCTGTATTAAATTTAAAATTTAAATTTTTTTCTTCAAAAAATTCTCGATACTTTTAATGCATATAAAATTAATTTGTGGATCATAGGAATTTTATCAATTTTTTTAATAATTTGAATGGAAATTAAAATAAAAACTAATTGGAAAACACGCGCATATATATATATATATATATATATAATTAATTAATTAATTAAAAATATATTATTATTATTTTTTTAATTTAGGGCTAAGCCCAAACATTTTAGGTGGAAGACGAATTAATGGGCCTTGAGAAACCCCAACGAAGGCCCAACTTGAAAGCCTCATATACAAATTGATATCTCTCGCACAATCCCGTTCTCTTCCAAAACCCTAGCTGCTCGCAGAGACTGAGAGAGTAGCCGCAGGAACAAAAATGGTGTCGGGTTCTGGAATCTGCGCCAAGCGCGTCGTCGTTGACGCCAGGCACCACATGCTTGGGAGGCTGTCTTCTATCATCGCCAAGGAGCTTCTCAATGGACAGAAGGTGGTTGTTGTTCGATGTGAGGAAATTTGCATTTCTGGAGGATTGGTTCGTCAGAAGATGAAGTACATGAGATTCTTGAGGAAGCGTATGAATACCAAGCCATCTCATGGTCCCATTCACTTCCGTGCTCCTGCCAAGATCCTTTGGCGAACAATCCGTGGGTAATGTCTATTCTCGCATTGTGTTTTCTATTCTTGTTTGTAGTTAGATAGAGATGAAAATGTGTGTTCGTTTGTTTTTGTTTTCCTTGGACGGCTTGTTTAGGTCCTGAATCGTTCAGGACGGCTGCATCTTACATTTATATATTCACTGTGGTATTCGAGTAACTTGTTTTGTTCATACCTGAAAGATTTTGAAGAAAATTTGTGTTTCCTTGTCTTCGTATTCATTGAAAGGGATTTATTATAATGTTGAATGAATTATGAGAGCAACTAAACAGTTGCGCAGGATATGTTTTCTGTGATTTTGTAGCAATCTGTTTGGTTTACACTCTTATTGTGGATCCAATCGCATGGTTTACTATGTTTAATTGGCTAACTCTTAGGCTTATGAGTGACATATTGAAACTTCGAATTGATTTGGCATATTTCCATTTCCACAAAGAAACTAATGATTTTTCCAGCCACGATTTTAGCTTAGGGGTTTGGGTTTCTGATTTATCTTTTTGCCATTCCTATACGAACGCTATAGGTAGGTCTACAACTTATCTGTTTACCATTTTTGTGTTATTTTAGTATGATCCCACACAAGACAAAGCGTGGAGCTGCTGCTCTTGCTCGTTTGAAGGCATATGAAGGCGTTCCACCTCCATATGACAAGATGAAAAGGATGGTCATCCCCGACGCTCTCAAGTGAGTTTGAGAATCAGATCTTATCAGAAACAAAGAATTAGATACAAATTATGGGACTAGAATTAAAATTTGAGCTACTAATTAATCTGTGTTGTTGCAAAAGACATAAACAAAGCAATACCGTTATGTTCTAGTTTTCTGTATTTATGTTTTCTCCATATTTTTTGATATTGTAGGGTTTTGAGGCTTCAAGCTGGACACAAATACTGCTTGTTGGGCAGACTCTCATCTGAAGTGGGATGGAACCACTATGACACTATCAAGGTACACGCATTACGAATGATTATTGAATGTTGGTTTCTGTTCATAATGTCTTTATTCCAAGTCTATTGAATCATATCATTTTGCCATATGTTTTTACATTGTGTTTGTGAGATCATTTCTCTTTATTATGTATTCTGATTTCTGGGTTGTTGTATCACAGGAGCTTGAAAGGAAGAGGAAGGAGAGGGCTCAGGCCGTGTACGAGAAGAAGAAGCAGTTGAATAAGTTGAGGGTCAAAGCCGAGAAGGTTGCGGACGAGAAGCTCGGTCCCCAGTTGCAAGTAATAGCCCCAACTAAATACTAGTTTGTTGCAAGATTTGTGTTATGGGAGAATTGAGTTGAGTTGCATTTGCATTTTTCTTCATAGCGTGCCATTTTGTTGTCTATTCATGATGATGATGATGATGATGATGTTGGTCACCATTTTTCTTATCCTTTTATCTTCGGATTTTGAAATTAGTTTAAATTTGGGGAATCGCATGTTATTCCTTAATCTACTTAGGTTCATCTCATATTCTGAATTTTGTATTTATTTTTATGTTTTTTTAAAACTACATATTTTTCAAATTATTTACCTGGTTTTCATCTGCTTGAAGAAATATTTGAATTCTTGCTTAATTTTTAGAAGCAGTTTATAAAAAAAAAATTCATAAGGTGGCTTAAAAAAAAAAAGAAAAAAAAAGATATATATATATGTATGTGAAAGTACTATTTGTAAGTTTAATAATTAATTATGGGTATTTATTTTTAATTTAGATAATTAAAGCTACTTTAGCACTTTATACATATTTCTTGAATCCAAACTAAATTTAGAATATTACAAATTGAACATCTTAAAACCTATATGATTTGAAATGGTTATCAAACATATTTCAGATTAAAAAAAGCTTACAACATATATATAATTTAACCGTCGGAGCCATAATTAATGGGAGATTGATTTAGAAATAACGGGTTCTGTGTAATTTGAACTACAAGTTGCTGCATGAACTCAGGGTAAGAATGTTGGTTAATCACAGCTACTTTATTACCCATTATCAGTTCAAGTAAATAAAAAGAATCGTGCTCTCTTATTCCAAGATCCCTTGACTGGCTGTTAAAGTAAATAAAAAGAACCGTACTCTCTTATTCCAAGATCCTTTGAGGGGCTGTTATGTATCGCCGGCTTCACGATGTTAAAATCCGTATGCTAGGGAGAAGTTTTTATACTCTTGTACCATTTTAAGTTACCTTCTCTAACTAAGAGAAAAATTACGATCATTACCACAATGATGTAGAGCCATGAAAGAAAACTTCCAAACCGCTCTTCAGCGTTTGTGGAGCCACGAAAGAAAACTTCCAAGCTCTTCAGCGTTTGCAGCCCACTCGATGATTGTCCCCATTCGGTCCTAACCATTCTGATACTGTTTTCCTGTCGAAAGTACGTCGGTATTCTGATTTTTAATGCAATACAGTACATGAACACAACGAAAAGAGTTCAAAAATTGCAGGGCAGAATTATCGGAAGCTTCCTCACTGCCTATTTGAACTAAATGCGAGGAGGCATGCATACCTATCAAGTTGCTTTTCTACCCATACTTCCATCCATGAGGAAACTTGATTTTCTGAGTACATCAGATAATGGAAGATTGTCCAAAACCTGTGAAAAATGAACAATTTAATGGTCAAGGAAGCATATGTACGACTCAAAATCAAAGAAAATTAAGCCAACACCACTTGAAGATGAAAAAAATCACGTCTCAGCAAAGTCTTCAATGAAAAATTGGGTAATGAAACAATGTTCAACAATTGAGGAAACAAATTCATGCATATGCAATCATACATCATTTGATGTTTCTCTGAGAAAGAAATTGAGGGAAAAGGCAACACTATTGATGCGTAGAGTAATTGATTACAATTTACTACCATATGTTTCACAAGTTATCTTTTAACATACCTCAAGCATAATTACCCAACATGGCTGCTCCTCCACGTCTCCTGTTGAACAATGGTTATTGTTACAACTACATTGTAGAATCATAAATGCAGAGGTTATGTATAAAGGAGCAACAAATGTAACAAACCACTATCTATATTAAACTGTCTGCTGCTGAGTTACAAAGAAGAATAAAGAGAAAACAATCAAGTTTGGCAAATAATGTCAACAATAGAATACATCAATAAATAAAAAACAAGAATAGAAGAAGTTTAAGACCATTCTTTCTCATATATTTTTAAGATGCAACTAGAAGATAAAATAATTTTCTTTTCTGGTGTTTTATCGTTTAAATATCCAAATAATTGATTCACAAGCTAAAATATCTATTAAGGTTGTCATATAATATGCGTTTAGAAAAAGAAAAAAAGTTCAAAATTATGGAATGAATACTTTTCAAACAATTTTAGAAGGTATTACTCATTTCATGGTTGAGAAAAAGTGTCGCAAAAGCACACATGTATAAGTCATAATGTTTTCGAGATAGAGCAATACATATGTACAAGTCATATTTTGGTGACCTCTTGTAGGCGCATTCAACATTATGTAATCCATTATACCCTGTCATATAACTGTGGACAAAAAAAGATGGCACGCACACACACACAATCAAGTTGGCATAACAAAACTAGAGATTCAGAGCATATAACTTGTTTAAATTCTTGAAGTCTCCTATTTTAAAAGAAGTTTATGACTAATTAATTTATTTGAATGTTCACAATGTCATCGGTGGAATATTTGGATTGAAGAAATGGAAGAACTTAGAGAAATCAAACATAGGGATAGATTTTGTTCTCCTTGTGGCTTCCACATAGCGTTCTCTTCATAGGATCTGCATTTTTGTAAACCTAAGGATTTCGGTAAGAAGATTACTTGCGTCCTTGCCCCCTAACGGTTCTATATATCTTTGTCATTAACAAACTTTTTTCTTCTTACCGGCACCAAGCAGGGGAATATCCATATAGCTTGAGGAAAAATATTGCTTTCTTAAATTCAAATCCAAAATTCGTAAACAATTCGCAATAATGGCTTCTAACTATCATCTCATACAAAACTCACATATCTGCTAAAGAGAAGAGAAAAGAAAAAGAACCACAATTCTCAAAAACACTAGTGACGGTTCCTATCAAATAAGGAGACTTCCTTTTTGGAGCTCCCAGAGGACAAATCAGTTAATCTCAACTTCTAACTATGGTCACATTATGGTTGTAGAAAAGGATTGTCAAAAATTCAATCTTCAAGGATACAGGAAGCTTTGAGGTTTTTTGTACCAAACAGGACATTTCAACCAGCTAGCACGAAAGTATTATTTATTTAGCGCTCAAGATAAACAGAAAATGGGAAGACAAGATATCCTGCTATGGCCAAAGTTAAGGAATCCACCCCCCCAAAAAAAAAATGAAAAACTCTCCACTTAGCTAGGATAAAGAAAAATGGTACAGCAAAACAAAAGCGTTCAGATTTAGCAAGCAGGAAACCTGAGTGGGTAAAAATATTGAATGCAACAAAAATATCCTGAGCGGCTACGAATTTACATTTCAAGATAAAGAGAGATAGAAATCTTACTTTCAGTGGAATAGAAAGATTGGCAGTACGCATGATTGCTTCAGCAATCCCATGGGCATACCAAGGCTACAAGGAAATAAAGTTGCAAGGTCAAACACAAAGAAAGCTGACGGAGAAAAATTAACAAACAAAAGTAAACATGAAAGATGCAGCCAGAGCTTACTATCAATTGAGCTAGATTCATAGTTATTGAGAAATGAAAATTATCTCACCAACGTAGAGCAAAAATTAACAAAGAAGATTTATGGGCATTTTTTTTCATGCTAGTTTGACTTATTTCTCAAAAATTACATCGAGGAGAGAATACTCAAGATCAGAACCATTGGTCCGTTGGAACAAAGATTTTCTCGTCCAGCTTAATGCTAATTTACGTATGATGCCACATGAAAATTTAACAACTTCAATCATGAATCCAGTACAATACGTGATATCTAACAGTAGAATTTTATGGGAAATTTTTAGTTGTGGAATCTTTTGTTTATTAACATCCATAGTTTGCAGAATGCGCATGTATTATGCCACTTACCATTCCTACTCTGCCTTCAGAAAACATCATAGCAATGATATCAGAAGTACATTATGCTTTTTAAGAAACCAGCATGTTGAATTGACAGGAATAATACATATGCTTGTAACTATGGCCGAGTTTAACCACACACACGCCACGTCCATCAAGTAAACGGGAAAAATCATTTGATCCAAAATATGATCACTCTTAAAGAGCCTCCTGGACACAATTTTCTAGCTATTATAGCAACATGATGACAATTCACTCATATCAATCCGAATACTTCATGCCTTAATGCTTGCGAATACCTCCAACCTATACAGATTTCAAACTATGTCTATGGCATACCTTCAAGCTGATTGAACGTGATGCTCTGTTCCATAACTCCAACCAACCGTTACCGCTGAACGAAGTATCCATGATTCGGATCGTACGATGCGGAATGTATAAAATCGCGAACCTCACGAGAATTATTCATCGAAATCCATAACTCCGAAATGCGAAATGTGAGTAAGAATCAATCCGAAAATGAGAAGAGTAATGCTTACAAGAATCGGCTCGTCATCAACAACATGAGTCGAAAAAAGTGATCAACAGCGCACGATCGTTGATCTGAATTCACTGCAATATAAAGTTCTAAGAATTGGAGACAACATTGCGGAACATATGGGAAGAGAGGGAGAAAATATACCTCGAGAGAAAGGGAGAACAATGAGAAGTTTCTGAAAGGAAACATCAATGGCGCCATAACAGGATGTTCTGTGATGGAAGGACTTTGTTAGTAGACTTTGTTGGTATAATTGCTCTGAGGGTTTTGGTGAGCCTTTGGGCATAAACTCCCGCCAAAAAATTTCTCCATTTTTTAATATATTATTTTCTAACAGCAAAAAAAAAAACTTTCCTCTAAACATGTTTTTATTGGATAGTTTTTTTATTTTTTAATATAATTCTATTATACAATATTAAAATATATATATATATATATATATATATATATATATATATATATATATATATGAGGCCCGATCCCAGCTAATGCGGATAAATCTCTAATAGCTCTATCCCACATGGGGTGGGACGATCCCGTTTAGCTAATACAGATAAATCTCTCATAGCTATATATATATACAAAAAAAAAAAAAAAAAA